AACTTTTTGAACATCGATGTTCCCCTTTAAACATCGGTGTCTTCCCAAAACTTTTTGTTTTCAACCAAAACCAGAAACTTTTTAAACAGCGATGTCTTACCTTCAACATCGATGTCCATTTTTACAAATTTTTTTTCCCAATCGCAAAACAGCGATGTAGGATAACCCAACAGCGCTGTTCTAATGGGTTCAAACCCTTGCACAATTCCAGAAGCTTTTGGAACATCGCTGTAGTGTACCCAACATCGCTGTCCCATTGACACCTTTTTTTTAAAACTTGGCGCACAACAGCGCTGTTCTGAATTCCACCAGCCCTGTCTCAACAGCGATGTCGCCTCCAGAACATCGCTGTTCAGGTCAAATTTTTCAAAAAAAAATACCCGTTGGGCACTGAATTAAATGCTCCAACTGCCAGATTTTTGAATTTTTGAACGTTGGAAACCTAATCCTATATATATTTGGCCTCCTACTTACCTTCTTCTCACATCTAAACTCAATCTTCTTCAATCTCCTTGCATATTTTATCCTCTCTAACATTTTCTTTGAAATTTCTTCATCACCATGGGCAAAGACAAGAGTAGGGCTGCTACCTCCGGGAAATCGAAGTCTAAATCCCGGGCACCGTCCACAACCTCCGAGGAACGCCTCTACTACGGCGATGGGTCGTACCTCTGGTTCGATTCCGAGGAGGAGCGCACCCGATTTCTCACCTTTTTCTCTAAACGGGTTGTGGCTCCCCCACGGATCATCCCGGAGCGCTACCCAGAGTTGCAGGGCTACGATGACCTCGACGCGCAGCTTCATCAAGCCGGCCTTTGGCCGTTCGTCTCCCGGGCACGAAAGGAGATCAACCCGGCGCTGATCCGAGCCTTCTACTCCAACCTCCGGCGTGAGGACGACGTGCTCTACTCACTTGTCAAGAGCACGCCGATCGAGCTCACCGTGGAGCAGCTTGGGCGCATCGCCGGCCTCCCCTTCCAAGGCGACGATGTGTCTCACTATGGTGGAGAGGATTGGGTGCTCAACAACGAGGGCCTTATCCTCAACGAGCTTGGCATCGCCGAGCTCAAACGCCATGCCTCGGGACGCCCAACCATCCACTCCGCCAACCCCGAAGGCCGCCTCGCCCTCTACATCGTCTCCCGGATCCTCAAACCGAGGAAGCACAGCCACACCATCATGCACGGGGAAGACCTCAAGCTCATCCATGCGATCATGCATTCGGCCCCAATCAATTGGGCAAAGTTTGTCATGATCAACATGACGATCGCCGCGTCCACCGACCACGATCACCTCCTCCCGTACCCGTTTTTGGTGATGGACATCCTTGAACGGTTCAAGGTAACCACCACCGTTGGCCCGCTCACGAAGGCCACGAAGATTTGGACAATCAGCAACCAAACCTTCCTCAAGCGGTCGGACAACGCCGCGGCTGCCACTGCCGAGCCACGCCGCACTGCCCCTACCGCTGGCCCAGCCGAACCCCAGGCCCGGGCCAACCTTGCCTCCATCGCCGACTCCCTCAACCGGCTCCACCTCAAAGTTGACGGGATGGGTGGCTACCTTGAACGGCTCGACGTGGCTGTTCAACGCCAAGGATACGCGATGAACTCGTACTTCCAAGGCATCAACTACGTCCCCCCACCGTACCACGGCACGTTC